GAGAGCTCAGGATTCATCACCCCCAACTGAATCCACCGTGCTATCGTAGGTTCCCTCCTCCTGGTCTTGCATTGCCCCAACATTTCCCATTGTCTTGCACTTTGTTTGATTTGTTGATTTTGCTATCCTATAGTTCTGAATGGGTCCCCAGCCCAGGCAAAACCAATCTTAGTGGAATCATGTAGATCAAAAGATTTTGCTATGTCAGTATAATTCTATGAATTATATATTTCTTCCTGGAGAGTAACCTGTGTAATCATTGAAAGCAGCCTCAGCTTCGTGTTTATGGTCTATCAGCTTCGTGTTTATGGTCTCTCAGCTTCGTGTGTATGGTGCGGCTGCGTGGAAGCCGGTGACAAGTACAACCACTCTCTACTCACCTCTAATATGTATGAAGCCGGTGACAGGTACAGCCTCTCTCTACTCACCTCTAATATATATGGGTTAACTCCCTCGAGAAAAGGAGTCTTTGCAAGGTCAGCCAGTACTCCGCTTCAGATTCAGTAATATGCAGAAATATATGCCATCTTTTTCAATAGTCTGCTCGCCTCCTCTACATTAAAAGGTGTTTTGTTCTATTTTTTTTCACTGTTTATGTTGATGGACGACAGAGCAAACTCTGTGATTTAAATAATCATCAACCACATGTCAATCATTTCAAATAAACATTCTTTTTTTTGTACCGAAGATGTGAAATAGCTGCTTGGTGGAGGTGCCAGGATTTATGAATTAGGCTATCTGATGGTGACGGTGCTTATATTTTATAGTTTTACCTTCTTATGCCCTTCGGAATTAACATGCATCAATGAAAAAATGAATTTTTTTAAGTTTACAATTTTGTTTATGTACATGCCTTATTTAAACCACCTGCATATGTGAAGGCATCGCTCGCGCCTGACGTTTTTGACCGCCCGATCGATTCACCACAGATGGCGATGGCACAGACCAGGAATGCGTCGGCGGTGGCGCTACCTTGACAAGGAGGAAGACACTCTGCGACATCATCAACCTGAGGCGGTAGCGGCCAACACGAGGGGCAGCAGGACGGGTTGACGTGTGTGGACGGCGTGGATGGGATCGCGCAGTTGGTCAAGGCAAGATTTCCCTTTCCCCTTCCTCGATCTGCTATGTCCTCGCTTCTTTGAGCATGTGTTGATGTGCAGGCTCACCTTTGCAGGTCTTGCTCGCCGCCGTTGGATGTAAGCAGAGGCCTTGCCGTGGTCGAGGTCTCCTAGGCAGGTTTATCTGCTTTGAGATGTGCCATAGTTTGAGAGGTAAGCTCTGGTGATTCAATTTTTTTGGCCGTCTAGGCATCTTTGTTACATGGAATTAGGTATCTTAGATAAAGAACTACTATCAAATAAAATATGCATATGAGTTTCCATATCTCTTGGTTATTTATATATGTGTTACATATTATTCCTAACCAATTACTTAGTATTACTTAGAGTGTGTTTGTTTGGGCTACAATTTCAATGCCTACAGCTGAAGGAGCGACTGTAGCTGCAGAGAGGCTTCAGAGCATGATAACATTGTTTATGAGAAAAATCCACGACGGACTGATAACCTACTTCTTCTAGGAAGTATCTACTGTAAGTTTATGACTTGGTGCTAGCTGAAGCTTGCATTTTCTACCAAAACTGCTATTAACAAAAGAACTCTAGCGACCCAGGATTTTATCCTTAACTGCTATTAAACTCACAAGAGGGAGCATTTTAATAACAAAAGAACTCTATCCATGCTTTCTGATATACTGTGTATATGCGTGATGTACTAGCAGTTCCTATTTTTTGACTATTGCGTACCAGAAAAATGAATTGGTAATGTCTGTATAAATATGATGTATTGAATTATGTTATGAGAGGGATTTGTTCATTTCAAAACTAAGGAAGTTGTCAGTTCAAAAAAATACTAAGGAAGTTGGATGAGCTTAAAGCGCCTATTCAGAAGTTAACTGAACTTTTCTAATTGTATTTTAAATCCACAAGAGGGTAAAATCAATGCTCTTTCCCAGATCATCTAAATCAGATGGATGGGCTCCAAACTCCCAGTGCCGTTTGTCGTTTTTGTGTTATAACTTTTTACTTGATTGCCTTTGGACATATGGTACTATGGAGAGGTGACATTAGCACAATTGATGGTTGTTTGTCCTCCCCTATCAACCACATCTGCTGACTCTATATGTTGATATATCAACAAAACAAGATATCATTGTTTTATGGAGTTAACAGATTATTGAAGATTTTTGCTGCCATGGAATTGTGAGTTTGTGACTATACATTCTTGTCCTACATGTGAGTTGAAGATATATTGTCTCTGTATGTGAATATAAATATCCAGGTATGTAAGCAAGTCCTAACATTTATTTACATATTTATCAATGAAATGCATCCAAGCAAGTCACATCTTACATACAATTGCCCACTTATAGGTAAATTTGATGATTCATAAATTAACCGGTTGGAGATCGGTAGGCAGTCAAGTGTATTGATAACTGGAGTTTAGAGCTCAAAATCCTTCTAACTTCTCTACTAACTGTATTTTCTTGACAGCTTCCAGAGAAGAACAAATACTGTTAGTCATTCTCTGGCATGTATAATACAATACTAGAGATGTGAATGGATGTAGTTCATTTAGTAGAGTATTAGTAGATGATGATTTCTTTTCTTCAGAGTCAACTGGTGTATATGCTGATATGTTTAGTCTGTTCCAAAATTAATTTGTAAAGTAGCCTGAACAATTGTACAGTCTCTCTGTGTATCAGTACTTTGTTTTTGGGCAACTTGAAGAAATCAGTTTCTCATGACATGTGAAAATGAGTTTATTTACCTTAACTGTTGCTTTTATTAGTTAAGAAAGATGTTTGTGAGATAGTCATCACAGTGAAGCTTGGCGAAGGGACTTCTGGTGAGGCCTACAAGGCTGGAAGCACTGCATGTAAAGTGGTACCCTCTCATGGATACTCATTTGTCAACTAATAGATGGCCATACTAGAGGCACATGCAGCGCGCACACAAGGACCCTAACAGGTTGTAAATGTGTACGTGGACAATCTTTAAATACCTAGATTATTATTATTTAAATACCTGGATGATTATTCCACATAAACAGAGTCATTGTCATTTTAACACAAGAAGCAAGCAGTGTCCCGTAACACAGATAGCTAATGTTTGTGTTGAGTAGCAAAATTCATTCATTAGTCATGGGGCATCAAGAAGAGCAAACACCAATGCTGTGAGACATACCTGTTCCATTAACCATGCAGAAAGTAGTAAAGCCTTTCACCTTGGCAAGGCACTGTGATCCATGGCCTAGCTCAAGCATGCCATAGCTCCCTGTATAATGCGTCGCTAGAACTCCCTGCACAAAGGATTTATTATGTGAACGAGGCATACAATTCAAGGGGCCTTTCACCTTAATTTATAGTGGTAGGTTTTAGCAGCTGATCATGAGTTAATTTAACCAGCATTACTGTATCTAAACGGGTACTACATGCAGGGATCAGGGATCCACCACTTGCCTGACGTGCTAGCACCAATTTACAATATAACCATAAGATTTTATTTCTCAAAATATAGGAGCTTCATGGACTACAGCACCCTGTTCCATTTCATCAATGAACCAAGAGTTTTACAGCGGGTAGGAAGCCAGGGTTCCCACAACCATAAGAAGTGAAGATAAAACACATTGTGATTATTCAACACAGAATTTGAGAATTTGAGGTGCACCAAATCGAGCATTTTTCCCCACTAAACAGGTTGGAATTTGCAAACATCCAAAAGGAAAGGAAAAGATAATGTATCAACCAAACTATCAAAACTACTAGAAATTCTCTATGCCCTTTTGGATTTCATCAAGGCATAACAAAAGTGCCAAACAATCAACCTAGACAACGATATTACTAAAAGTTATTTAGTGCTAGAAAACAATGCCGGGTCTCCTTGAATTATACCCAAGTCCACATCTCTACTTCTTTAGTATCCACCCAGGAACTCATTACTCTCCAGGGAAGCTCAATTCAAGTAGAACAAGCCAAGGAAACGCACAACAACCCCAAACAGCAATAGCAAAGCAAAGGAACCGAACTTGAGGCACCCGAGGCGCTGGAATTCGCCATCTTTGCCGCCCAGTCCAAATGACTCCCGGCCAGAACTAATGAGTGTGGGTTGATATGCTCGCCCCATGCGCGCCTCCACGGATCTTGCCCCACTCCACGGCCATGGCAACGGCCGGGACGGAGCACACATGACACTACGACAGCGATTCCTGTATGTTGTCATTCAATCAACCGACAAGCTATGATGTCATAAAATATTTCTAAACCAACATGTGAATACCTCGCGCCTTCATCCTCCCATCTTCCTCTCTGCATTTGTTTTCTCTCTTGACTTCAACACCATTTCTCTATTTGTTAGGTAGGCTGAAGGGAAACCTCCTTCTTGCCACTATACTCTCAATCAACATGGATACAACACGGGCTATTATCGACTTGAGAGCGTCTATCCTCCGTAGGCTACCTTTGTCAAGACCATTCCCGATTCAAGTGGCCAGAAAAAGTTCACTTTGCCCAAAAATAAGAAGCAACTAGATTTATGTTGAGAGGGCATTTGGGGCGAGCCTATCTAACTTCCAGACCAGAATCCAGCCATATTTGATGAGTTCTATGTACGAGCAGTAGAGACTTGAGTGTCTGAATATTCTCTCAATACTTGGCTCCCTCTCGCCCTTTGCGCCATTGGCGCAACGGGTCATCTAGTAATGTATAAAGGTCGAACTAGAAAAACTTAACTTTGTTCATTCAAATATTAGTTGTGATTGAATAACAAAATAGATCTTTACTTAGATCATGGTTCTTGGTAAAGTAAATTTCTGGAAGCATCATAATATCTAGAAATGAAAACTATTTAACACGTTTTGTTTAAGAAATGTTCTTCACCCATAAGAAATGTAGCAACCAATTAGAAGTATAAAACTAAGTTGATAATCTGGTACAAAGTTTATTAAAAGCAACTAACTAATGCATTTTAAACAATATTTCTTCTTTGTGTTTCTTAGGTCATCTAATGATTTCCTCCCATGTTTTAAATATTTAGACTAAATTATGCATATACACTACAAATGTATCTTTGAGAAATCCTATTATTGGACACAATAACAAATCTCAATACATGAAGCAAGAACTTGTACCTCTTAGTTTGGAGATGTTCTCTGAGCATTTCGATAAGACGTGACTCACAAGTGTGAATAGATGTCTCTGTGCCAAGTTTGGATAGTAAAGGATGGAGAAGTTTTTGAATGTCAGGCTTTTGAGACACCGTCACGAGCGCATGAGTGTCAAATTCTCCCTTGACTCTACGGTATACCTCATTGGCAAGTGTTGTTTTTCCCAGACTTCCAAATCCCACAATTGATACCGCCTTCAACTTCTTCTCCTCATCCATTAACCAACTGACAAGCTCATTCGCTGGCCCTTCTATACCCACAAGGTCAGCCACTTCTGTATAGAGTGCAGTGGATCGTAGATCAATGTCAACATCACTTGATGGGGGTATACGAAGCGCATACCTTCTATGACGTTCACTTGCCTCTAGCACAAGTTTTTGACCTCTTCAATTTGTCCAGCAATCCAATGACGAGCCCTCAAAGTTTTGAGGCGTCGAACAGTATTGCTAACAAGCCCAGTAGTTTTACCATTCTCACCAATGCTTTGCATGAAGTCATCGATGATGTCCTCAATGTCATAGGACATCTCCCTCACCGAGTCTCTCCACCTCTTAGTTTGTGAATCTAGCTCTTCAAGATCTGAAAGCCCATCAAGAGCATCCTTCATGTAGGCAAGCTCATTGCTAATGAACCTCACTTCTTTTCGCAGGTTCTTCAGCCTTGCAAACTCCTTTCCCATGAGGGTTGTCAGCTTACCCAACAAAGAGTTCATCACACCAGTAGAAGCACTCACCATTATTCCAGCCATCTCTTGATGAACAGCTTATCTTGGCCCCAGGTTAACTATACTCCTGCAGAATGGGAATTGGATGGATCAGAACTTCAGAATAGTTTTCTTCCTAGATGACCCTCATTGGGACTCCAGACAACTTCCGAGATGCCGATAGCTAGCTAGCATGATAACCAGAGGGAATGAAGATACCAACCAATCCAACAGAAAGCAATGCAGTTTGATGATTTGGAAGCAATTTCACAGCAAATGAGCTTGAGTTTGGAGAGATTTAGTTACCTGAAATTTGCAGCGTGTGCTTGGGCTGTTCCATGGCCAAAGCGAGAAGCACCGAATGCCGGCTGGTTCACCAGTCGATCAAGATCTGGTCTGTGAGAAAAATGGAATAGCTCGCACCTACTGGTTATGGAGAAGATGACATTGAATTGCAGCTGCAAGTGAGGTAGACGAAAGAAAGTGCATAACTTAACAAGATACCGGCCCTCTGCAATAATGGAGTCTAAAAAATTAAGCATGTGCAATACTTAACCTAACACGAGACACGCGTTCCAACAGGTCTCTCTCACAGGACGGGCCTGCACTGAACTTACCCTACAGAGTTGGTTCCCAGTTGCTTTCCAGTTTATACTTTCTTTTTTCCTTGCGAGCTACTAATCGAGACTGGATCACCTCTACGTTCACGCTAGGGCCAACAACTGGCAGGATATTATTAACTGTAGTTGTCCTCTAGATTCACCCTGCCTAGTGTTAACGAGGCTGCATGCATGCAGTTCATAGTTAATTAACTTCAATTAATCATCTAGATCCACGCCAAACCCAACCACAGAAAATAGTCATACACATTTCCATGTGCAAGCCAGTGAAGACTTGGCCATGCACATGTCTACAGATCATAATGTCAGAGCTTTCGCTCTGCATTGTTTCAATATTTCCGAAAGAGCTTCGAAATCTCACCAGAGAGAATGCATATGTAGATTGGCGGCCAGGTTTTCCTTTCACTCATGAAATGACACCCTTGCTGCTCCTCACTAGCTTCTACCGAAAAATTCTTGGTTTTGTTAGGACTGGTAGCAAGAAACTGATGAGGCTGGGCATGCGCTGCAGCTAACTCTGAAACTTGGTGGGCTTTCTTCCTTCCATTTGTACACGCACCTCCCTGTGTAAGTATACACACACTACTATATCAATATAATACTTGCAAGTCCTGCAGCGCTTTGTAGAAAAGTTCTCATCAGCTAATCCGTAATACTAATATGATGAGTTGACCAAGATGGCGTATCAATACCAGAATGCTGATTATCCCTAGAGATTAAGGTGCAGATTTGCACACATGAGACATAAACTTATTGACGGATATTTGTTTGGGCTAGCTCGAATTGCTGATCCATGTGTCATACTGGCAGGGCATGTATCTCCCAGGAACTGTACAATACGGCAGGTTAACCATCACCGGTAACTGTCAGGAAAGCTTTCCATGCCAGTCCTTCCAGGAATAATAGCTCTCCCTGGATAAGGATCTGTGTGAAGTAATGCCTCAGGAAACCTCACAGGAAAAGTTTTATGACGGTTTTCACTACCTTAATCCGGCGCAGCTTTACACCATCATGAAAGAAATAAGGATTCTGCTAATGTATAAGCTCCTTCGCCTAACGGCAATCTTTCTTAACATATGGGTCAACTCTAACACATGACATCAGGGCATACGTACGTCTCAAAACACAAATTAAACAAGGGGTCAGGTACCAAGACTTGCTATCCTATGCCAAGTCCTTCTGTTATAGCCAGCCAACTCTACCATTACTCCACTATTACCCCTAACTGTACATACAAAACAAAAGCAACTTGTTTAGGATGCCTAAAACAAATGCCAGCTGCAAGCATCTATGTCCTACCCACTACTAGCACAGATAAAAATATGGCTCTAAACTAATGAGCAACTTGATTAACTTATCCAGGGTCTAACTGTTCCATTATATATCTTCACAACATTCAAAATTTTGATATATAATGTAATGACACACAAATGACGCGACGACAACGATGAACCAGGAAGCTGCGTTCTGTCTCAGCAAAAGCTAGCTTGTGAACACCTATACACCGATCCACAAACATCAACAAGTCCCTGGGAGCTCACCTCCACTCAAACAAATACGGACTATCAGGAAGGAGGATCGTGACCCGAGCTAGGTAAGGCTCACTTTGTTCGCCCAGCATCTTTTTCCAGACAAGAGAAACGTTTTTTCCTTTTTGCGACGAAGACATGAGAAAAGGTCGATCAGCATCTCCGCATTTGCATTGGCATATTTCATTCAAACAATCAAGTCTTTTCAGGACCGATCAGGAGAGTTGTATGCCAATGGTATCGATGAAGCAGAGCAGAGGAGAGAAGGAGGACATCCGCACCTTGGGAACAGCATTGCATCGCGGCCGCCGGGGCAATGCCGTGGAAGAAGAGGCGCACGCATGGGAGCACGCACGCGGCATAATCGTGGTTAGCAGCGTGCGCGCGCGCGCGGTCCAGGAGAAGAGATGGCGTCTCACGGCGCGGCTGGCATTCCGTCGAACAGCTGCCGCGCGCCGCGGTGTGGATGTGGACGCGGCTGGCGGGGAGCCGGCCCGGCGAGCGCCGCGTCGGGATGGCTTGGAGCGGGGCCCCATGGTTGGTGGAGAGGACAAGGCCCGCTGGACCGGATGGGTCGGCCGCGAGCGAGAACGGAACGGCAGATTCCGGCGCGGCCGGCCGATTGAAGGGGATCATTTTGTTCGCTACCTGCAGTTGAACCGGTCGGTGTCCCACGCTGGCCGGCCACGGAGCCGACGATGGACGTCAAAACGAGAATTTGATTATGTGGCACCTACGTGTACGCCATATCATGTGATGTGGCAGCTACGTGTATGCCATATCATCACTATTTTTACTTGTTCCCAAAAATTGCGAGATAAGAAAAAATACAACCTCTCACAAAACCATATTCTCGAGTTTTTTTTTGATATTTCATAATTTTTGGCATCATAATGTTTTATGATAAATACTGTGACTTCTCCTCAACAACACCCCCATGATGCAGGTACAACAATTGTGTCGTTTCACATTGGAATTTGCATTTACAAGCCTTAGGGCATCTTCAGTGACGTTCATCAAACAGACACCCTCAAATGTCCACAAACATCTGCCCGCCCAAAAAATTTCATAAAATGCCTAAATCTAATCGTTCGTGTCAGATGTGAGGTTAGTGACTACCGTGCCAGAGCCGTTGGCCTCATTGTCATTGGCGGCTGGAGCGAACCAGCGGGAGCTGCCGATGTGTGCCTCTTTGCCATCCTCGTCATGTTGCTCCGGCACCTCGTTGTCCTCGCCTTCTAGCACCACAATAGGGCATCGTGTCACTTGTTGTTGATGTGGAGCTGGCATCACTTAGCGTCGACACATGTGTGTCTGCTCTGCACAGATGAGTAAATAGCTCGGTTCTTGTCGATGGGGTCCGGGTCCACAAGAAGCTCCGCCATGCCTGCGTCATCTGCACGCTCCGCCTCCAGTAGGGCCATTGTTGCACGGTGCTCCTTCAATAGCGTGAGACAGACTTGCTCCTCCGCCTCCGTCACGGAGAGGTTGTCTGCCCTTGCGGTCGCGGCGTCACCTGCCATATCTCCTCCTCCTCCTCCTCCCCGGTGCCTCCTTCTCCGGCAGCGCCATGTGATCACACTCATCCTCCTCCTCCTTCTTCGCCAACGCCATAGGATCACCCTCTCATCCTCTCCCTCCTCCTCCTCCTCCTCCTCCTCCCGAGCGCGACTTCGGAGAGCTCGGAGGTTGTCCTACCTCAATGTGGGCCTGGCGCGGGGGCTCTGCCGTGTTTTCGGCGCGGCGCTGCGACATCAACATCTTATACCATGTGAACTTGAAGCGAACCATGGTGACGACGACTGATGGGAAGGTGGATGTAGGGGGGGGGGGGCTCTATTACGGTCGAGAACATGGACAAGTGGAAATGAGAGAAATGTGATGTGAGCTAGTGTTGGGTTCGCCGGACGCCCTTTAAAGGCCAGACTAGGCTCCTCGAGCGAATCACCCGCTGCCCGACCATGAATGCAGCGGGCGGAGTGGCCAAGCTTCAATGCGGAGGTGAATGGGGTAAAAAACCGCGGCGATGGCTTAGTTTGGGATGGGATCCGGTTGTAGCATGCAGGTCGTGACATGGAAACATCCTACCTATATTGTGACATAGTGCATCTTCTGTTTCACCATTTGAAAGATATTTTTGCTCTTTTATCATCCAAAAACATTGCATATGCATGCCACACGCTAAAGAAGAAGTGGTTTGGAATGGTTTTCTGCAAAGCTGTCAATATATATCTCTCTCCAAACTCGAAATACATAGAGAGTTGAGTTCCTTTTCTGTTAATTAGAGAGTTCTAGAGTAAGGAGAAAATTGAGGTTGTTCGATCTACAAGTCCACCTAAATTTGGATGTTAAAGTTGAAGACTTGGAATCTCTCTTGTTGGCTTCTAGTGGAAGTTTGCTCGTCACCATTCATGGATTTGTTTGTCTCGTAAACCG